CCCCCCAGCCACCGCCAACCGGGACCCGTGCCAATGCCAGGCTTTGTGGCCAGGAAGGGCACCGTGGGAATAAAAGCCCCGCAGAGAGCTCGGTGCTGGGGGGATGCTCAGCATCGGCCACAGCCCCCAAACCAGGGGGCTGGCAGTGCTGGGGGAGGAAGAGGAAGGCCGGCGGAGAGCACACGGGAAGATGGAGAAATGGAGCTCAGAGGGGAGGAAGGAGGAGGCAGAGGAGGGGTATAAAGGGCTGAGGAAGGCCACAGATGGAGGGCTGGGGACACAGAGGTGTGGGCTGGTGCCTGGGAGGTGGGGGGCTGGCGGGAACCCTCCTGCAGACCCTGGTCCCTGGGCTGCATCCTCCAGTGACACACGCTGAGACCCCGGAGGAGTGGGGACGGCCACCCACAGGGGAGCTGGGGCCATCACCCATTGCCCCCTGCCTCAGCCACCAGTGTCCCACAGACCCAGCCGGAGGGGAAGGGCTGCATGGACCTCATTTCGTGGACGCCCGGAGCCCCCCAAACTGCAGCCTCAGGGCTCTCCCCGCAGCGTCCCCCCACTCGGGAGGGCAGGGAGAAGGGCTGCCGCGCCGTGCCGTCCCTCCGCCGCCATCCTGGCTTCATCTCCATCAGCACGATCGGCCGCTTCCCTTTCAAACCTCATTAACTCCCCCCAAGGTGACCCTCTCCCTCCTGCAGCAGGCGAGCAGAGCTGCCCGGGGATGCCAGGAGGGGACGGGGTGCTCGCGGGGTACCCCAACCCTACAGCCAGCCGCAGAGCATCCCCATACCGTGACCGGGCTGGCACCCACAGGGATGCAGGACCTGCCGCTTGGCACAGCTCGACCCGTCACCCCCCCCCGGAGCCCACCTCGGACCCACACATGCACCCCAGCACCCCGGTCGCAGCCTGGGGAGCTCGGCCCCCCACCCCGGCTCGACGTTTTCGCCGCCGCTCTGCCTTTGCACACAATCCCTGCACACCGGCCCCGCCGGCGGCTCTTCGAAAGCCCTTCCCCTGCTGAATCCATCTATAATAGATATTGTAGCTGAGCCCCAGGGGCCGGGGGGGGTGGCAGCGATATTATCTGCATCTGTCTTCATTCCCCGCTCCCCCGCCCTTCCCCGGCAGGCTGAAAAGCCGCGAGATCAGGCGGTGGAAAGCCGCCTCCAGCTCCTCTCTTGCTCCTTGGCGGGGGGGGGGGGGGATCAAACAGACCTCCCAGCCGGACCCCGTGCCTAACCACAGCCCCCAGCCCTTGTCTTTGCTGCTCTCCAGCCCTGGGACGACACGTGTCACGCATCTGCGCGTGGGTGTCCCCCCCACCCAGGGCGTGGGGAGGCTGAATGGGTCGGAGGTGGTGGGGAGACAGCGAGAGCAGGCAGGACCCCTGGGAGGGAGTGGGTGAGAGACACCCTGGGGCCGGGGGGGGGGCTCAGCATCTGCACGGACACCCCACCGCCACGGAGGACGGGATGGAGCTGCCATGGGGGGACGTCAGCGCTGGGGGACAAAGGGACGGGGTGAGGCCGTGGGGGATGCTCCGAGGCGCAGGCAGGAGCATCCCCCGGGCTCGAGCCCGCTCCCGGCGCAGCAGAGGGGCTGGGGGCTAGCAGGGTGGTGAACCCCAACCCCAAGTGGGATGGGGGTGCCAGGGGGAGGGAAGGGGGCTGGAGCCACCGGCGCCGTGCCCGCGCCGTGCGGGACGCGTGGCTGCAGCAGGTGCCTGGCTTCCAGCGAGGCCGGCCAGCCCGCACGCTGCCAGCCGCCTGCCAGCCCGCCGCTCTTTGTCTGCCTTCCCCGACTATCACGCTTCTCCCCCCCCGCCATCCTCCCCGCACACCCGGGCCCCCCCACCCGGCTCCCGGCCTCGCTCCTCGGGATATTTCAGCTCATTTTGAACCGGGCTTTTCAGCTTTTGTCCCAGCCCTCGGGGACCCGCTCCCACGGCCCCCGGCGCTCGCCGCACCGGCACGCAGACCTCTCCATCGCTCGCCCTGAGACAGCGCTGGGGGAAAACAGGCAGCTGCCTGGTTATTGATTCACCACCTCCAGCCGGGCCGCCGCGGCACGGCTCTGCTCGGCACACTCCGGTCAGCCGGTAGGAACGGAGCCTGGGAGGATGGGGACGTGGGGCAGGGGGGCCCGGGGCCCCCCAGTACCTGCTTGATACACTGAGAAGATGAAGCAGTTGGGGTGCAACCGCCTCCCTGGAATGGGGAGAGCTGGCATCGGCAGCGGGGACGGGGATGGAGGGGGGGGTGTCTCACATCGCAGCGGGGAGGAGGGAGGGAGCTGCCCGGTGCCCCCCGAGCAGGCGTGGGTGGCGTGGGGGACATCGTCCCTGTGGCACAGAGGGCACCTTTGTCTTCAGACCCAATCTGTGCTTCGCACTCGGCCACGGCTCTCCCGACATGTCACAGGACATGGGCAGCGCAGGCGATGGCCCCGCCGGCAGCACAGCCCCCCGCGGCCCCCCAGCAAAGCCGCCCAGTGGAGGGAGCTGCTTTAGGAAGCACCTCGGCTCAGTCTCTATTTCAAACACCTCTTGCCAGCCGAGGCCAGGCTCCCTCGGGTGTCTCCCACCGCTGAACCAGACCTCCCACCCCCAGCATCACCTCCAAGCTCCACTGTGGCCCCCAAAGCCCCCTTTTCTTGCACCGCAAAGCACGGCCCAGATGGCAGCAAAGTTTCCCAAATCTCCCCATACGGCATCTTCTCCCCCCACGACACGCAGCCAGTGCTGGGGGCCGCTGCTGCCATCCCCCACACGGTGACACGGAGTAGGGGACGAGGCCGGTGCTGCCTCCGGCTGAAGGAGCCAGATACGGATTCGTGGGGGCACAGGCACTGCTTCACCCAGGGACGTGGCGTTGGGAAACGCCTGGGTCTTGCCAAACCCAGTGCAGGTGTGAGCCACCAGCACCCTCCCGGCCTCCATCGGCGGGGGACAGACCCGGCATCCGCACGGCACCGCGGCTGAGCAGCGGCACGGGAGGAAAAGCAGGGGCAGGGAGAAACAGTAAATTAAGCAGATGGTGTCCCAGCATGAGCCGAGAGCTGCCAGCACGGGTGTATGCACCCCCGGCCCCACCACAGCACCCCACGGCCCCAGGCACCAGGGCACAGCCGCTGCCAGTGACGTGGGAAAACTCCCACGTGATGGGAGACCCAGCAGCCGGGGACCACGGGGCGTGGGGAGGCGGGAGAGGGGGTCTGCCCCCCCCAAACCCCAGCAGCTCAGGCTCTGCCTTTTAACCTTACAGCCTGCCGAGCAGTGCCGGCAGCGGCACAGGCAGCCGTCGGCGGCCCACCGAGCGCCAACGGTGATATCCGATGGGGGCGAAGGGGCAAACGGGGGGGCAGATACGAAGTTTGGAGGGGAAATAACGCGGGTGCGAACCTCAGGCACCGGGAGGGAAGGGCAGCCCTGCCACGCTGCTGCCGGTGAGGATGGGCTGGCGTCTCCGCTCTGCCACCAGCCCCACCAGGTGACCTTGGGCCAAGCAGTCCGCGGTGCCGTGCCGCGCTCCGCTGCCCGCAGGGCATCCCCGTGGGGTCGCGGGGACGGGGCGGCGTGGGATCGAGCTGCTCCCGGACCGCAGCAGGAGGGAGCGCTCAACCTCCGGGCGGGTGGAAACTTCACCTCGAAGGCGGCTCGTCTGGAGCCGCCAACTCTCGGGCAGCGCCGACACCGTCACCTGCCGTGGGTGACGGCATGTCGCGGCCCCCACCGCTGCCCCAACCCGCCGGCTCCCGCAGGCCTGGCTCTGCCGAGCGCCTGCAGCTCGCACCAGTGACACCGGCAGCGTCCGCTCTCCCCGCGTCGGTGCTCCCTCGCGTCCCCGCCGGCACGTCCCCACGCCACCGCAGGACACGCTGTCCTTCTGCCCGCCGGTGGCCGCTCCCCGGGCCCCGGGCCACCGCGGGCGAGGGTTGCCAGGCCCCGGTGAGCCGCGTCGCACCGGCGGCATCCCTTCCCCTCCGCACCGGCTGCCGGCAGCTCAGGCAACCCTCACCGGGGCGGCTGCGCACCCCAAAACCTGCCCAGCAGCGTCCCAGATTCCTCGGTACGGGGCCGACCGACGCTTTCGGAGCATGAGCTCAGCAAAACCGCGCCGGCCGAAGCCCCTTCCCCAGTCGCCCACCCCGGCAAGCGGAGGCGCGGCGGGACGGTGCTGGGGACCAGGGCCGGGGGACCCCCAGAAGGATGGAGGGGGGCGAGCGATGAGGAGCGGGGTGACGCGCTGCCCACCAGATTCTCGTCCGGGTGCCGGCAGCCAGCGGGGCTGGGGGCTCACCCAGAAGGCTGAGGCTCGCCCGGGTCCAGGCGCTCCCCCCGGGGGAAGCGGGTGCTGGCCCCACGGGTTGGGGGTGGGGGCTGTCCCCGGGTGGGGGCCCGGGTATCCAGCAGCTCCGCAGGGCGGTGACTCATTTGAAAGCGGCGGCGGCGACTTTCTCCCTAAACTACCGTAACTCCCGACCGGTCACTCCGGCAAGAACCGCAGCCGGGGAGGTAAGGGGGGGG